TGAACTGTCAATGGCTAATGAAGCTATGAAGTAAAAGTCGAGTTCCGTGGTCTCCATGTAGTCAAATCAACACAACACACGGGGCCTCAGGGATCCCCAGAAATCTCAGTGTGAATCCTACTTTCATCTCCTCCCTGATCCCTGAAATTACCCAACTTATAGCCCTCACTTACACCCTCCATCCAAAGTGGAGATCACGGGACTTATGTCGTGGGTTATAGGGGTGATGAAGAGACAGGACACAGAAAATGGGAAATCTGGTGCTCTGTGCACACTAGGAGCGCACTTAGTGGAACGGACAGACTGCATGCCATGACCACAGTGAGAACCCTTCTACTGGCCCCGCCCTCATTCACTCTGTCAGTCAGACTATTTTCTACTTCCCAGAAATGTAACGTTGAACTTTCTCTGTTCAATGCTGAGCATACTTGTTTTTTTAAGGGTACTGGGAACTGAACCCAGGGCCTCACGCGTGGTAGACAGGCACTCTAACACTGAGGTACATTCCCAGCCTGGCAGTGGTTGTTAAAATAGACTCTTTCTCCCTTCTTTACTTCTTGACATCCTACTTACTCACGGTGACCACTCAGACATCCATCTCTTCCATGCAGCCTTGAACTGCAAACTTGCTTTGTTAAAAGATATGCCCTTAGTGTTTCCAGTCTTTAACAGGTTATGCCTGGCTTTGTCTTGTGCCCTTGTCCCTCCTAGAAAGTGACAGGACCTTGAGAACAGCACTAGAGCCCTCTCACTGCTCACAGCATCCAGCTCTGGTCTCCTCATCTCTGTCTACTGAGGTGATCAGAGTTCTTTGGGACCTATCCTACATTGTTCCACGAAAGCAGAGCGATGAAAAATGTATTCAGGGAATACTCTATTTGCATTTCCTCTTTTTCCTCCAAAAAAAAGGAGGCAGTGGCTTCTGGAAGTTGCCACTCTTAGCAGCTGACCCAGCACCGTCCATCATCCATGAACATTTATTAGTGTCCACTGGGTACACAGCACTTTCCTTTCCGCGACTCCTACGGCTCTGGCTCAGCTGCTCACTTCCTCCAGGCCTATCCAGGTCCCCCCCTCCCCCCATTTCTGCATTTCAGCAACAATGAATCTCACATATCTGGCTTTGAGCATCCTCCTAAAGATGATGGATAGGCACAAAGCCTTCTGGGACACATCAGTACAGCTGCCAGTGGGCAGGAGGTGCTTATACAACAAAAAGAAAGCTCAGGACCCTGGGGACAGGTGTGCAACTCTGAGTGAGCCGCCCAACGCT